TGATGGATATTATGTATATGAGCAAACAAAAAAAATCATTTTTGCGTAAAGGTATTTTTTATTTTATTGAATTACCCAAAAATAAGCAACCTTATAGCAAAAAAGGGGTGCTTATTTTCGGGAAAATACGGTAATACAAATATCAGACATGATATCAATTATAATATATACGTATATATTTAATATATATATACCTTTCTTGTATTTCTTTATAATTTTTAATATGACCCAATACTGATTGATTAAGTCTGTGCTAAAAATCACTTAACGTATTTTTTGTTTTAGTTTGAATCTCTGTTCCTTCTTTAGAATAGGGTGGATACCCAAATATTTTTTTAACAAATTCATCGATACATGTTGCCGAGGGAAATCTTGCTCTAAGAAAGAGACATTTTATTTCTTTATCCCATATGTGTGCACTATCCTAAAAAAATTATTTTTATTTATTTATTTTTATTATTTATATTCTTGTTTTAAAAAAAGAAAATAGAATTTATCATAAATCTTACTCTATTATTATTTATATTTGACGAAATTGCAGATGAAGGCATTGACGATTCATTAAAAGTTTCAACATTTTCTATTAATGATGAGGATGCCATATACATTTGGTTGGCTAATTGCAATATAGATTGATATTTTACCAGCCAATTGCATATTTTTAAAATATTATTCATCTCTTTAAATTCTGCTGGAATTTGACTAGCTTCATGTTTTTGTAGTTTTTCTTTAGATTTTTCTTTTATAAATATTAATGAATTAAAATTTAATAAAATTAGATCATATATTAAAAATTAGATAACAAATCTAAGCTTAATAGACAAATACCCAATATACCTGATTGAACCTCTCTATCATACTCATTACTTGAAATCACTGTTGATGAGTTGGCTTACTTTAATATATAGTATAATAATAACAAATTAAAAATTAATAATAATATAACGATAATTATATAAATTTCAGATCCCATTAACCATTTTCGAATAATTTTAATATTAAATTTAGTGACAAATCTAAGCTC